CGAGCGACCTCACCGGTGCTTGATTCATATCAGCACACTTTCCGATGTTATCTCATAAACACACGTAGACAAATACAATGTCACGCACAACATGTTGAAATGAGCCTCTGTGTGTGTGTGTCTGTAGGCGTGTACAAGAGGGAAAACCAGTTTAGGCAGCGCTGGTATTCAGCCAATCAGCTTAAATGACAATGTAACCTGTAGAACACAGACACACAGACACACAGACACACACACACACACACACACACACACACACACACACAGGCTCATTTGAGGAACGGAAACCCAGAGTGTGTGTGTACACAGACACACTCTGGGTTTCCGTTCCTCACGCGCTTTATGAAGTAAATCTTTCAAATCATGAAATAACTCCAAAGAATCCCTTATATGGACTCTGAGGGAGAGAGAGAGAGAGAGAGACAGATACTGAAGATCCCTCTGTGTGTGTGTGTGTGTGTGTGTGTGTGTCTGTCTGTCTGTCTGTCTGTGTGTGTGTGTGTTTGTGTGTGTGTGAATGACTCTTCACTTTGTAATAAGCTTGTATATGTAACATGAGGTAATGCATTAGTTTTCATAAACTAACAGAGAACCATCATACAGCATTTATTCATCTTGCTTAATGTCAACTGATAAAAACTGTTAGTTTGAACTGCATGCATGTAAAAAAATAATTGTACAAATGAACAGATGAATACATGCTGTGACAGTTTGTTCATTGTAATCTACTGTGTTTGTGTAGACATTATAATTATGAGTCTGTGTTTCTCATTTTAATCTCTGAATCAGATCACGGCTGATGTGTTTCATGTCTTTTGAGTGTGTGTGTGTGTGTGCGGTCATGTTTTAAATGTGTGCGATGTCTCGTACAAAACTCCCATTCAGTCTTGATGGAGCAAACAGACGCAGACATGAATAAAGGATGCTGATGTTTTCAGGTCAGACGGTCAAACGCAAACATACGTCGTTCCTTCATTAAACCTAAACGCTCTCTGTCTGTCTGTCTGTCTGTGTGTGTCTGTCTGTCTGTGTGTGTCTGTCTGTCTGTGTGTGTCTCTCTGTCTGTCCATCTGTCTGTCTGTCTGTCCATCTGTCTGTGTCTGTCTGTCTGTGTCAGAGAGGCTCGTTTGCACAAAGAGAACAAGGCAGCTGCGTTTAAGAAGGTGTCCACTGAGTGCGCTCAGGTCTCTTTTCGTTTGGTCTCTCGTCCTTCACTCTGGTTCAGTGGTGGCGGCAGGTCTCTCTCTCTCTCTCTGCATCACGCTGTTCTTCTCGTTTAACAGCGCTGAGTGTGTATCAGAGCGCCAGAGAAACCAATGCAGCGGCACACTCAGCTCAGAGACACACACCGCGATGCAGTACAGGTACGACACACACACACACACACACACACACACACAGACACACCTCTGCTTCAGTAGTTTTCCTCGTGGTGTGTGTCTCTGATCATACATCCATTTGTATGTCATGTTTTCCATGTCTGTAGATCAGAAGCTGTCTAATCAGCTCCGCCCACCGTCACGCCCCCTCGTTAAGAGCTGACACTGATGGCCAGTTAACGCCACTGATTATACAGAGTTGAACTCTGAAAGCCTTTTGTTTATAATGAATGTATTTATATTTAAATGTCATTAATGAAAGTGAGAGACCAGAGAGGTGAATTTACATCACGACTGACCTTCATCACTCTTCATCTGCCTCTCTCGCTCTCGTTCCTCTCCTCATCTCTGTCTCACTCTGTTTTCTGCTCATCGGTTGTCTGAGTTCAGAGACTGTGTAATGCGAACAAATGCGCACACAGCAAAATGTCACTCATTCTTTCAGTGGTGATCAATACACTGATTCAATCTGTGTGTGTGTGTGTGTGTGTGTGTGTAGCAAAACCATGTTGTTAGGGTTTATAATATCTTAATATCTTCATGGCTTATTTTTGCATTTAACAAATTAGAGTTGGACGATAACAGTTTATATTTTGAGACTTTATAAACAATCAAGCAGTTGACATTTGCTATATGTGTATAATTTTATGTGAGTTAGAAAGTCTCTTCTGCTCACGAAAGGTGCTTTTATTTGATAAAAAATATAGCAGGAAATAGTGAAATATTATTAGAATGTAAAACAGCTGTTTTCTATGTGAACGATGAATAAAAGTTTTAATTTCTTAATGTTTTTTCTTGTTTATGCCAACATTTTGAATGGTAATGTATCACGGTTTCCACAGAAATATTGTGCAGCACAACTGTTTTCAACATTGATAATAATCAGAAACGGAGTGGCTGTAAAACACAAACAAAGACTGAGAATCTGCTGTAAATCAGAGTAATTTGCATATTAGATGAGCATGTGGCCCAGAGGAGCAGGTGATTCTTCATCTTTGCTTTTTCTGTTTTACTGTCCATCTGTGAGCAGCAGGAGGACTTTAAATGACCCAGAAACAGCAGCCGCAAAACACACACACACACACACACACACACACACACAGACAGACACACACAGACACACAGAGACAGACACACACAGACACGCACGCACGCACTCACACACACGCACACGCACACACACACACACACACACTGAAAGTTACTCTGCTCACATACTAGTTGATTTGTCTAGTAAGCGAGTGTGTGTTTGGTGTGTGATTGTTTACTGTTCATGCGAGTCTTTCCACTATTGTTCTGATCACAAAACTCATTATACAGACAGAGAGAGAGAGAGAGAGAGAGAGAGAGAGACCAAAGGAGGAGCAGATGATGTGGAAAATGTTCTTCATCATCACCTTTTGCTCTTGTTTTTCATCATGTTATTTCTGCCGGCCCCGTCTCGTACCTTCATATCCTCTGCGGTTTCATCCGTATCTCTCGCGGGATGTAATTACTTGTTATTCTCTCTCGCTCTGCCTTTCTCTGGCCGCTGATAAAGCGCAGTATCGGCACGCTCTGTCGCTCTCTGTGCGTCTGCGGTGCTCGATCTGAACGTCCTTCAGCCTGCAGCAGATACGGTTATGTGAAGCAGTGCGTGTGAGCTCATATATGCATTTCGATTCCTTCATCACCTCTCAGCTGTAATATGATTACTGTGATGACTTATTGCTCTATCAACTGTGTGCATTGCTAATTATACATTTAATTGTTTAATTGTTGCATAAAGCCTGTCCTGTAGTAGATGCATTTGAGACTGTACTGCATCTGCACAGCAAAAACAAAATGTTCTTATATAGTATTTTTGTGTGGTTATCTAAACTATTTAAGCATCCTTGAAATTCACAAAATTTTGGCTTGTTTTCAGGCAAAGTCTTAGTCATTTTGAATTATATATATAATGTTACATGTAACATATTAATGAATGTTTTGGTGTATCTTATACATTTTTTTAATTACAATGTTTTAACACTTACACTGCAAAAATTGATTTTCTTGTTCAGTATTTTTGTCTTGTTTTACAGTACAAATATTTAAACATTCTTAAATCAAGATACATTTACTTGAGATTCAAAAGATGCAGTTGCAGTGCACATTTATTCATTAAGTGTATACTTTCATCAGAATAAGTTCATCCTGTTAACAGACAAGCATGCTCAAAACACACGAGTTATCTTGTTTTTAAGGATGGTTTGTCTGGAAAACAAGACAGAAGTGCAGATAAGAGGAGTATTTGTTGCGTTGCAGGGCTGATGTTCAGCTTGTGGAGGCATGCAGCTCTTTGCACAGACGTGTAGATGATTTAATCAAACGAGTGCAGCAGCAGATAGTTCAGTGTGGGTTATTGATGTTGGCTGTGTTTGGTCAAGCTCTTGTTGCCTGATTATTCAGCAGATGGTTTCTGATCCGCAGTGGCATTTTCTGGGTCATATGTTCTTGTGAATAATTGTAACTGCAGTTATAATAGATTATAATATATATTCATGTTTAATTGTTGTCACACCAAATTTCTTTCAGCCTTATATGGCGAAAAATATATTTTAAAGTTTTTTTTTTATATATTTCAAATATATTTAGTACATGTATTTTATGCATTTTAATATTTTAAATATTTTATGATGCATTACATATACAGGCTTCAACCAAAATTTCCAACTTATGTGTGTGTGTGTGTGTATAATTAATTATAATTATTTAAATCAAATTAATTAAATCAAATCATTTAATCATTATATATATACTGTATATTAGACTAGTTCATGTTCATATTTCTTAAATGAATTTCTGATGTTTAATCTCTGTTTTTTCTTTGTCTGCTTGAACTGAAAAACCTTGTTAGTATTAATGTTGTGTGTGTGTGTGTGTGTGTGTGTGTGTGTGTGTG